AGAAAACAGAACTAGACCTGCATTTGTTAGTTTGTTTGCTTGTTTGTTTTGCTTTTTGGGTCACACCCGACGATGCACAGGGGTTACTCCTGGCTCTGCACTCAGGAATTACTCCTGCGGTGCTCAGGGGATCATATGGGATTCTGGGAATCGAACCTGGGTCGGCAGCATGCGAGGCAAACGCCCTACCCACTGTGCTATTGCTCCAGCCCCATGCATTTGCTAGTTTTGATTTTGCCAAGAGAACTTTTTTTCAACAACTGCTTTTTTTGGTTTAGTATCATCATTTCTGTTAAAACAGAGTAATTCAACTTATGCACATATGTGTGTTCATACAAGCAGGGATGGGGAGAAGGGAAGAAAGAGAGAGATGGGGAGAGAGGGGGAGAGACACCTTCATAATAGAGCCCTTCCCCCTTGAGTTGAAAATTGGAACATTCTAGAAAGCAGATCAAAGACGATGGTGATGTTGATGATGATGATGATGATGATGATGATGATGATGATGATGGTTGAACTGGATTTATTATGGGGAGGTCAGCTGGGAGGACCACAGGCCCTGGCTTCCATGTATTAATGAATCACTTGTCTATTCAAAGATGCTGGTGGGTTACTGGGTCTGGCTTAAAAAAAACCTCCCCTTCTGTTTATTTATTTATTACCTTTTGAGTCACACCTGGTAATGCTCAGGAGTTATTCCTGGCTCTGCACTCAGGAATCGCTCCTGGCAGTGCTCTGGGGCGCCAAGTGATGCCGGGGATCAAATCTGGGTCAGCCATGTGCCAGGCAAGTGTATTCCCCACTGTCCTATCACTCCAATGCCACCACCTTCTGTTTCAATCAGCCAATGAGCGTCTTCACCAAGGGTCAAATTCAGAGACATTGTCAGGCCCCCAAATAAGTGTGAGCCAGTCACTTCCCGGGAAACAAACCAGAACACTTCAAGAGACATACTGAGCTTCCCCCTTGGGGCACAGTCTAGAGAAGAACCCCCCACCATGCCCACCCCAGAAGCACCCCCTCACCCCCAGCAGGTGAGGTGGTTACTGGCAGGAAGTGAATCAAATTTTGCTCCAGTGGCTGGAGAAATATAGTACAGGCATAAGGTATTTGATTCATCCAGAACAGAGGGAAGGGGCTGCTGGTCGAAGCTACACCGGAGAGACGGGGCAGGACGGGAGGGCCAGAGGACAGGAAGCAAACTGATTTTGGATTCAAGGAACAGAGAAGCATCCCAACCCACACTCCACCATGTGCTCACTTAGCTTCCTCGCCTCTCGATCCCCTATCAAATAAGGAATACCAGTTCCATGGGGTGATAAGTCAAGGGCTGCAGCTCACTCTTTGCATGCGTTTGATCCCCAACACTAGGTAGTTTTCTGAGCACCTCTAGAAATGCCCGCACCACCGCCAAGTATCACTGGATGTGGTCAAACCTCCCCTCCAACGGAAAACAAAGAAATTCAGACTCCTGGTCTTCATCCCAGGGAGCGTTAAGCATCTATAAGAATGGAATGTTCTGGAAGGTCTGGTACTCCATAAATGAGTAAAGGCAACCCAGTCCAGCCCAATCTGGCCACAATGCAAAGCCGACCAAACCAGCCTCCTGCCAAGTCTCCTTGAGGGGAAGTGGTCCAAGGTTTCTCATTGTCGAGGACAGGCATTTGTGGGTGCCGTTGTGGGCCATGGGTGAGGAGGGGGTGGTGCCCTGGCTGCCCATAGCCCAGCTGTTCTCTGCAGCTGCAGCTGCCCGGAGCCTCAGCAGTTCCCACGACTCCAGCCAAGCCCACAGGCCCCCTCCACACACACCCCAAATCAGCCGGTGCTGGCTCCTTCTTCTGCCCCCCCAACTTCCCACCACTACCACTATGAATGAATGTTGTGGCTTGTCCCTCCTTAGGAGGACTGTATATTACTCCCAAGGATGTGCATTTGCTTCCTGAACAACAAAAGGCTTCTGCACTTGCAGAGACTTCCAGAATTTTCCAGAACTTTCTAACTGGTCTTTCACTTACAACCTCTCCAAACCCAGCTGCTATTTCCTGTATCCTCAGCAGGCCAGAGGTCAGCCTTTTCTTGTCTGACTGTGCCCTGGAAAGAGAACAAGGATTACACGTATCGATCCTGCACCAAATTAGACAGCCCTGCCCTGCACCCCCTCACTGAGCCTTCCTTAGTAGCTAGTGCATGCGCCCAGCTTTCTCTATTCCTACTTGAATTTTTGAGAACATTGAGGTGTTGAGCTGCGGAGAAAGACCAACAGCTTCCAGAGCAACCCAGCTCAGGAAGGCGACTGGCGGCTAGGCTTCATTTGCACCCGAAACACACTTCTGGCCTCATTGAACTGAAAGTGTTCAAGAGTGTATTGCCACGGCCAAGCGGGTTTCCAGCTTAATCAAGCATTTAATGAGCCGCATTAATATTCCTTGGTCTCTGCTGTGGGACTCCTGAGTGGAGAGAGTGGCCTGGAGCTGGGAATTGTTCATCTTCCCGCAAACAGAGAGCTGTTTGTTCCCCCGAGATGGGTAAACCCAGCAGGGGGCTTCCCAGAGATTTTCTTGGCAAAGGAAAACATTGCCACAGAACTTCTGAAAATGCCAAGCAACGGTGGCAAGCAATCTAGAGGTACATGGGGCCAGAAGGAACGCACAGTGGGGACGATGCTTGCTGTGCATGCAGATGCACCTAGTTCAATCTCTGGCACTGTAAAGGGTCCCCCAAGCACTGCCAGGATGATCCCTGAGCACAAAGCCAGGAGTACCCCCTGAGCACTTCCAGGCTTGGTCACCCTGAAAAAAAAAAGAACTAGAAAGAAATATAGGACTCTGTGGGGACATAGAGATAGCTCAGGGTTTAGTCGGGTATAGGCTTTGCATGCATAAAGATCTGTGTTTCTTCCCTGGCACCTTTTGGCTTCCCAAAACATCTCCAAGTATGGCCATAAGGATTCCCCCCAAAGCAGCAGCACATTATAAGTCATTAGCATTGATCTGTTCCACCCCGTTTGTCAAATGTGGCCTCAAGGGGCCCCCTGTCTACACCTCCAGAACTATTAGGGAGCCCCAAGGAGAGTATCTCAGACCTGAGGGATAAGCCCCTCAGAGATTCCTAATTCAGCCATGGGGGGGGTGCAGGGATGACCCCAGGTCTTCTCCGGAATGGACTCTCCTGGGTTACCTTCCTTCAGGAGAGATCCCCACCTTCTGGAAGGTTCTCTCTGGCCAGGCTTAATTACAGTGTGAGGTCAGGATCAGGCAGGATCGTGGGATTCTAAGAAATTAAGAATATCCCTGAGGGAATGACCCATCTTGAGCAAGAGGAGAAACGACAAGGAAAGAAATCGGGTTTTCCCAGATTTTCCCACACCACATCTAGTCCCACTTTCTATTTATAGGTGAGGAGCCAGAGATCCAGCTGAACACCAAAGCTTCTCTTGCTCAAAGTCAGAGCTGGTTCTAGAAACCTGCCATCCCAGCACCCCTCCCTGCCCTGCTGGGTTGTATTTATATCCCAGTCATAGATTATCTCAATGTGCCAAAAATTAGCATTTAAAATCCACTGCATGGGGCTGGAGCAATAGCACAATGGGTAGGGTGTTTGCCTTGCTTGCCACTGACCCGGGTTCGATTCCCAGCATTCCATATTGTCCTCCGAGCACTGCCAGGAGTAGTTCCTGAGTGCATGAGCCAGGAGTAACCCCTGTGCATCGCTGGGTGTGACCCAAAAAGCAAAATTAATTAATTAATTAAATAAAATCCACCGCGTTCCTCCAGCACAAAAAGACTTAGAAAACATGGGCTTTTGAGGGGACCAGAGCAATAGCGCAACAGGTAGGGCACTTGCCTTGCCTTGCAGCTGACCTTGGTTTGAATCCCGACATCCCAGCTGGGCCTCTGAGCACAGCTAGGAGTGATTCCTGTCCTCAGAGTCAGGAGTAAGCCCTGAGCATCTCTGGGTGTGGCCAAATAAGAAAAAAAAAAGAAGAAGAAGAAGAAAAAAGAAAAAGAACTCTGGGTTTTGAGTAAGCGGTTCAGAATCAGAGAGTTTGTTCGGGCTTCGAGCTGCAAAGCTAGCGGCCCCGTAACGGCCGGGACGTACGGCAAACCTAGCTAACCGTGCAAAAGATAAAGCCAAGCTGGACGCAGTGGCGGGTGCGGGCGGGCTGGCGCTGCAGGTTGGCACCGCGGGTTTGGGGAGGTGGAGGGGAAGATTAGACTAAGTGGCAGAGACGAAGCAGGGAAGCTTTGCTGCCTTTCCCGGGTCTCTGGACGCCTCTGGCCAGCGTTGCAGGCGCTGCCCAATGCACGCCCTGCAAGAACCGTGGCTGCCAACATTCTCAGGGGAGCACGCGCTCCCGCCTCTCCTTCCTCCGCCGCCTGGGTTCAATCGTCTGATTCGCACCCAAGACGACCGACCCGGGGTGGGGCTCGCGGAAGACGCAACAATTAATTGTTTTCGAGACGATTAAATGAACAACACATCCCATTAGAACAAAGACGCGTCTCGGAGCGCAGCTGCGGGGGGCGGGGGGCTGTGTGGGGCACATGGACCCGACCCCCACCCCCAGAAACCTCCGAGGAGCCCCCACCCCTTGTCCATCCTGGAACCGAATGCCCAGCATGCACCCCTAACGGACAAAGTTAGAGGTGCTTGGGGGTGGCGGTTGGCGGGGGTTGGAGGGGTGGAGGATCCCCCGCACTTGCCACCCGCAGGCCCCTAATCCTAGTGCACGAATTTAGGAGAATAAAGCTTCGCAGCTCCGTCAGCTGCCCCCCTCCCCACCTACCCTCAACGTGATGCTGAAGCTGGAGGGTGCGGCCGCGGCGGGGCGGGGCCCCCCGCGCCCCCCGCCCGCGCCTGGGGCACCCGGCCCGCCCCCTCCCCTCGGCGCGCGAACCAACCTCGGGTGCAGGCGGAGGCGGCGCAGGAGAGGCGGGCCCCGGCCCGCCCGCGCTCACTTGTCTCCCCACCAGCTGCGCCCCGGAACTGCCGTGGCGCTGGGCTCCCGGCCCCGCTCCCCCAGGCGCGCGCGGGCATGCAAACCCGGAGCCGGCGGCGCGCCCCGGGCCGCTGCTGAGCCGGCCGGGCCGGCGGGGAGCAGCGCCGGCCGAGGGTTCCCGAGCTTGCGGCTGGGTCCCGCGCGCGGCGCTCCGGTACCCCCTGTTCGCCGCCACCCCGCCAGCGCCACCCCCCGCGGGCAGCAGGGGCTCATGCAGCCGCCAAGGTAAGCGCCCGGCAGCCCGGTTGGCACAGGCCCGTGGCGCGCGCGCCCCTGGCCTGAGAAGGGGGGAGCAGCGCGCACCTCGAGCAGGGGGGAGTCCATTGGCTGGTTTCTTTCTTGCCGGGATTTGGAAACTTCGCTGCCTCCATCGCTTTAAGTCTTAGCTGGTGCAAAGTTTTTGTATTATTGCTGTTTGTTCTCTCTCTCTCTCTCTCTCTCTCTCTCTCTCTCTCTCTCTCTCTCTCTCTCTCTCTCTCTCTCTCTCTCTCTCTCTCTCTCCCTCCTTCTCTCTAATGTCCTCCCCGGCATGGGCACCGAGGATCCCCTGTCCTGCGGGGTCACCACCTCCGATCCCCGAGTCCAGGACGCAACCGGCCAGCCGGCTGCCTCTCCCGAACCTCCCATTTAAGGGTACCGCCCCCCGCTCCTTAAAAAAAAAAAAAGCCTCGGGGTCATGGAGACAGGTGCGCTGAGAAGTGGAGGGCTGGGGCTGGGGTGCTAGGATTCCGGGGCGACCCCCACCGTCATCCTAAGTGGGTACGTGGGACAGGGAAGAGGGCCGACTCGGCGTCCCATTCGCGCCCCGGCTCCTCGGAGGAACCAACCAACTGGGCTCCGGGCTGGGATGGGGGTGACGGGTGGGCGGGGTCGGACAGGTGCATTTCTGGGGAGACACGGCGCGTGCGGGGTCGTGATTGCATCCCGTGCTGGGAAGGGCATGAGCTCCGCTCGGGGGTGGAATCCATCGCCCCAGACGCGGGTTTTGATGGGAGCCCGCGTGTCGCTATTATGTGCTGCGGTTTCAGGTCCTTATTGATCTCCGAAAGCGCGTGTCTGGCGTCGCGGCGGCCCGGAGAGCATCGCGCCACCTAACGGACACGGTGCGCCGCGCGCTCCCGGCGGCCGCCTAGTTGGAAACTCTCCAAAGTGGTCGCGGCGGGTAAGAGCAGTCCTTGGGGTGTCCGCAGCCCCGGGGGAGGAGCTCCCGACGCCCCAACTCCGCACGCCCAGCTCCCGGGACACCAGGGCAGGTGGTACTGAGGGGCCAACATTCCCCTCTCAACCCTCCTTCTCCAGCCACTCCAAGGGAACTTAGTTCTCCGAGCGGCCGGTGAGCGGACGCCCTTTTCCTGCGCATCTAGCGCGGAAGTCTGCGAAGTCCGTGCACCGGCCGGGGCACCCAGTGGGTTTTTCCAGGCGAATCTGGAAAGCGAGGGGCCGTGCGCCGAAGGGCAGCTGGAGGAGAAGGGAACCAACCGACTTTGCCAGGGACCCTTTCTTGTTTCCAAAGTGAATTTTTTGCTTTTCCAAAGAAGCCGTTTTTTTTCCGTGCCCCCCCCATACTCTGACTAGCCAGCCTCCCTTTATATAAAGGTCATGACCTCCCATCAACAATGGGAGGAGGGGGACTGTAGGAGAGCTAACAAAGGCTGGGGTGGGATTCGCTCTCATTCCTGCTTTGTGCTGCCCCCTCCCAGGCCAGGCGGATTTTGCAGGGAACTGAGATCTTTCAGGGAGCACTAGGTACTGTAGATGGGTTCCACCCACCTTGAGATCCTGGGTGCTGAGGGGGCAGGGAGGGGGTCTCCTCCTCCCCCGTCCAGGTGCTTATGCTCCAGGTAGACATAGATAGGCAGAGGAGGATGCATGGCTGGTCCCTGCCGCTGTTTCTGATTATATCTCCATCTACCTCTCCATGGCCATTAAGAGACTTGAGACTTAGAGGACCTGGCGATAAACTGAGGTTCTTCTCTGCCTTCTCCTAAGAGGTCTGGCTGCCTTCTCTCCTGGCCAGCTGCTTCCTGGGCATCCCCGCCACCTACACACAGCCACACGCGCGCGCACACACACACACACACACACACACAAACACACCATGTGTGATAATGAAGGAGATAACCCTTACGTCCATGACCCTGGCTCTGTTCACCAGCCATCTGGTGGGGCCCAGTGCAGGAACTCTAAGTTGAAGAGATGACATATCAAGCCACCAGCAGTCCTATGTTCCTTCAACAAGGACAGGGAGTTCTTCAAACCCTCCCAAGCTCCCTGGAACCATGCAGGAACGTGAGATCCTGGTTCCCTTTTTTTCCCTACTCTTCAGAGAGGTCACAGGGAAGAAACTCATCAGGGTGCTGTGGGTTGCCAATGCTCTTCTTGCTACAACTTGGCAGCTGAGGGAATTAATCTTAAGTCTCAACTTTTGCTAAATTTGGGTCCCCAAATTTGACTGTGCCTTAGTGGGCATAAGTTCCTAGCTCTCCATTTATGGTATTAATAGGAAGAGGCAGAGGGACACCCCAGTGGAAAGGACCTCCTGTAGGTAAAGGAGATGCTTTCTGGGGCCAGAGAGATAGCACAGCAGGGAGGGTGCTTGCCTTGCACATGGTCGATCTGGGTTCGATCTCGGCATCCCATATGGCCCCCAAAGCTATGCCAGGAGTGATTCCTGAGCGCAGAGCCCTGAACATTGCTGGGTGAGGCTCCCCTATCCCCCAAAAGGAAAAACATTCTTCCTGAAAAATCCTTGCTCTTGAACTTGACCTCTGATGTCCCAAAAGCCACTTAAGACAGCTTTTATGTGCTATGTCCTGTTCATGTTCTTTTATGTTCTTCTACCTCGGTAGGGTATCTCAGTCTTTCAAGCAATGTTTCTTATTCATTCATTTCACTAACAACCTTGGAAAAGGGGTTGCTTCCCCCATGGTCTGGTTAGCCAGCCCTATTCAAGCGACAAGCTGCTCTCTTTCTTCTCCAAACCACATCCTAGCTGACTCCTCACCTCCTTACTCTGGCTGCAGGGCCAGAAAGATAGCACTGTGGGTAAGGCATTTGCCTTGCGTGTGGTCAACCTGGGTTCAATCCCCTGCATCCAGAGGGTCCCCTGAGTGCCAGGAGTGATCTCTGAGCACAGAGCCAGGAGAAAGCCCTGAGCAGTAGCAGGAGTAAGCCCTGAGCACAGGGTCAGGAGTAATCCTTGAGCATAGAGCCAGGAGTAATACCTGAGCACAGATCCATGAGTGATCCCTAAGCACAGAGTCAAGAGTAAGCCCTGAGCGTAGAGTCAGGAATGAGTCCTGAGCATCACCCCAAACCAAAATAAATACATTCACAAATAAAAATTGAACTAGCTGTAAAGAAAGCAGGAACAGGGCAGAGGGGAAAGATCAGGGTTGCCTCACAGTGGCGTGTTGGCAGAATGTGGCCAACGTCCATTCCTCTGGAGGACCCTGCATATCTTTTATCTTTCACAAGGACACAGGAAGCCCCACTTCTGGCCTGCCCGGCCTGTGAGCATGACTCCAGTGTCTATCACAGTGAGCGAACTGCAGAAGGCTTGGGGAACAGGCACCAGGTCCCTATCGGCCTCCAGAAAGCAGCAGAGTGCAGCGAGCCCTCATCAGGCAGAGTGATCTGAAAACCACTGCTCCCTTTCTCTCAATAGTTGATTGAAAGCAACCAGCCATGTTGGAGAAGTTTTAAGATTCATGATGCTGGATTTACCTCATCTGGGGAAAGACCAGTTCCTGTCCTTTCTGTGGATACTCAAGAACTGGCCATCTTCTTGCTCACGCTCTGTAGTTTCTCCATCTTCCCGTCTTTGGGGATTATGAGATCTCAAGATCTTAAGGAGCAATAGCACAGCGGGTAGGGCATTTGCCTTGCACGTGGCCCAACCCGGGTTCAATTCCCAGCATCCCATTTGGTCCCCTGAGCACTGCCAGGGGTAATTCCTGAGTGTAGAGCCAGGAGTAACCCCCGTGCATCACCGGATGTGACCCAAAAAGAAAATAAAAAAGAAAAGAAATCGTAAGGAGTGATTTATCCCATACACAAACAATATTCCATCCTATACCAAGTTTGCATTAAAGTTCTCTTCGGTGACTTCTGTAAGGAATATTAGGAGAGAGCATGCCAACATGCAAAGATCCCACCAAAAAGACCTTGGAAGGACATGCCGGCCCACTTTGAGGGCAGTGGCTCTGCAGAGGGTTAAATTTCTGCACCTTTCCCAAGTGACCATACACTCACATGTCTGTGTGCCGCCAAATGCAGGCTGGGGTGGGGAACCTTCCTGGAATTTGAGCCTATCAGTTGGCACGAGGCTTAAATGCCTGGGAGTGTGTTGCTTTCAAGGGTGCCCTTTCACCTGTTCTGATACGGTGTCTCCAAGATCCTCATCTGCCAGATGTGTGGGGGTGAGCCCAGGGGCTGAGGCCTTTGCCACCAGCAGGCATGAACAGCTCCTAAAAGCTAGTTGTCTCTTTCTGTCTTCTGGTGTTCAGAAGACCTACCCGTGATTCCAAGCCAACTGGAACTGAAGAGCCATGCAAAGGATGCTCAAGGGGCTTTTAGAGCTGCCCTGGCTGAACTTGGGGGAGCATGCAATGCCCTGGATCAAACCTGAGTCAGGTACATGCAAGGCAAGTGCCCTAACTACTGTCCTACATCCTGACCCCAATGCCTTCCTTCACCAAGTAGCAGTAACCGTCCATAGAGATGCCAGAGTAATGTGGAGTTTTCATGGGTGCTGTGCAGAACTTGAATGTAACTGATGGTACACTGATCACCCAGCTTGGGGGGGTGGGGGTAGAAGGATGAGAGAGAATACAGGATGAGGACGCTTGCCTTGCTCACAGCTGATCCAGGTTTGATCTCGAACACTGCATAGGGGTTCCTGATCACAGAGCCAGGAGTCAACCCCGAGCAGCACTGGGTGTGAGCCCCAAACAGCAACAACAATAATAATAAATATGAAGAACCCAGAAGGGAGGCCAGGCAGACTTGGGGTCCTTGGGGAAATATGCAGGTTGGTCCTCAAATCTCTCAATATCAGAAACTCTTGTGGAATCAGAAACTTGACTCGATCCCAATGATTCGTAGGGCCAAACCGATAGTATAGCATGAAGGGCATTTGTCTTGCATGTGGCCAACCTGGGTTCAATCCCTGGCATCCCATATGGTCCCCTGCATACCACCAGGAGTGATTGCTGAGTTAAGAGCCAGGAGTAACCCCTGAGCATTGCCAGGTATGGCCCCAAACCCCAAAATTTAAAAACAAACAAACAACTGTCCTCCCGTTGTTCATTGATTTGCTCGAGCGGGCCCAGTAACATCTCCATTGTGAGACTCGTTGTTACTGTGTTTGGCATATCGAATACGTCTCGGGGAGCTTGCCAGGCTCTGCCGTGCGGACGAGATACTCTCGGTAGCTTGCCAGGCTCTCCGAGAGGGGCGGAGGAATCGAACCCGGCTAGGCCTGGCTGGCTGCACACAAGGCAAACGTCCTACCGCTGTGCTAAATAAAAAATATTCTCGTGATCGCAGATCAAGATTAGTATGTGACCCACCCCCACCAAGTGCTGTGCCAAGATTCTGCACCATGGAGTCTAATTATCATGTCAACTCATTTCATCCTCCGTGCTCCCCCTCCCCTGGAAGTTCATGCGCACCCTCATTTTTCACATGGACAACATCTACAAGGTCTGTGTTTATGGGGCGCTTTTTCTCTGTCCCACAAAAGTGAAGAAACTCCCAGCCACAGGACAGACTACGGTAATGGGAGGACCGAGCACTGTTTGGAGGGACCAAGCACTGTTTGGAGGGTGGGTCTGATCTTTCTGGATGGCGCCTTGCCCCCCCCCCCCCCCATCAGTGGGGATTAGTTCAGCTTTGCCTAAGCCGCTATTCTAAACACATTGGGATTTGGATAACTTGGTTATCTCATCCTGTTGCTAAATGTCTTAGGTATTTGTGCCTGGCACCAAAATGTTCATTAATCCAAAAGGCTCTAGCCTGGTGGTGGTTGGAAAACAGCACCAGTTCCCCATAGTTCAAACAGTCCTTGTTTGGTGGACAAATGGTTCCAAGCTGGTTCACTCCCAAGAACTTACTGCAAGGGAGTGAGGTACAGAATGTGGATGGCCTGATCACCACCGTGAGCCTGAGGCCTTTGCTTTGGCACTGTGGCCCTGAAAAAAGAAATTTAAAGAATTGGGTTCGGGCTTTTTTTTGGGGGGGGGGAGAGAATGGTTGGTTTGAGGGGGGCCATACACAAGTCTTACTCCTGACTCAGAGATCTTCTTGTGGTGCTCAGAGGACCCTGTGAAGTGCTGGGGACTGGAACCCGGGTCAGCCATAGGCAAGGCAAGTACCCTCCCCATTGTACTATCTCCCCAGGCCCATATCTGTGTTATTGGCAGATCTGTGTTATTGGTTTGGGGGTTGTTTTTGTTAGTTTCTTTGCTTTTCATTTTTTGGGCCACACCTAGCAATGCTCAGGAGTTATTCCTGGCTCTGGCAGGACCTGTGAGACCTAAGGGACCAATGTGGGTTGCTGGGGATCGAACCCAGGTCAGCCGCATGCAAGGCAGGCACCTTACCCACTGGACTATCTCTCCAGTCCCACTGTACTGTTGCTTTGTTGCTTACCACCCCTGGGACTGTCCTTTCTCAAAGCCTTTGTGCAGGGGACTTCCAGGGGCCAGACACCTCCTCGCCAAGCATGCCCTGCGCCCCCACAGACATGCCAAGCTTCCGCTCTCTCTAATGATCCTAATGCTCCCTGGCTTCTCAACCACCCCTTGGTACAAGGCATTTCTCCTGTGGGGGTCCTTCTGCCCAGAATCTTTGTCCGAAGTCTTCCCAGCACCCTGCAGAGCCTCTCCTCTGTGCAGCCCAGCAGAGCCCTGGCACTGGGTTTGCTTCTGCCCTTGCCTGCTGGGAAACACCCCCCACCCTCACCCCCCACACACATACCTGCTCTCACCAGCCCTGGGTTTGAGCCCTGTATGCACCTACCGCATGACAATGGGGCCATAGGGTGCCCAGCGTTTGCACTGTCCAGATGTGACACCACGTTCTGCCTCTGGTGTCTCCATCTGCAAAGTGGGACCATTCCAAGGATCAGAGCACCCAGCTGAGCTCAAGGGGTGCAGACGGGTGTGGATGCCAGTAGCTCCCTGGTTGGTGGCATTGCTGCCTCTGAGGGCAGCAGACACCCCCCTCAGCCTGCAGCAGCTTCTTCCTGCCACATCTGTTCCCACCAGCTATTTGGAAACAGGCCGCGTGTCAGTGTCTCCTCCTCCAGCGGGACCAGGGCGCTGAAGTCCCGAATGTCTATTTCTGGACCCAGAGCTCCCAGCCTGCACCAGAAAATGCTGTGTTTGTGCCTCTCCACCCCAGCCCCATGATAAAAGTTGGGGGTTCTCTGCAACCCGAGCAAAAGCCAAGTTTGAGGTCTTTATTTGGGAGCATGGGGGTGGGGAACCACACAAGTCTTGCTCAGGGCTTCCTCCTGGCTCTGTGCTTGAGAGTCACTCCTGGTAGTGCTGGGACACCACAGGAATTGAACCTGGATCGGCAAGACAAGCGCCCTCCCTGCTGTATTATCTCTCTGCACGCCCCCCACAAGTTTAAGGTCTCGACCCCCAAACCCAGGCTTTTTCCTAGGGGAGATCTCAGTGGGTTCATTTCTGATGGGAGTGGCTGGTCTGTAATTCACTCGGTTTTGTGGAAGAAGGTTCAGTTGAAGGTGGAGTGCTGAGCTCTGAACCCCATCTTTTCCGGGGTGGCACATGTTCAGCACTCCAGGCTGAGTTGCTCCTGAAGGTTCTTGGGACACCATGAGGTGCAGGTATCATTGGATCTGGGGCCCCTATGTGGCAAGTCTGCACTCTGACCCTGAACTCCAATGCTTTTCGGGGGGGGGGGGGAGGGCAACACCTGGCGATGCTCAGCAGTGTCTCGCAACCCTGAGCTTTTATTTATTTTGGGGGGTGAATTTTTTGAGGGGTCACACCCGGCGATGCTCAGGGGTTACTCCTGGCTCTGCACTCAGGAATCACCCCTGGCATTGCTCAGGGGACCATATGGGACGCCAGGGATTCAACCCGGGTTGGCCACGTGCCAAGCAAATGCCCTACCCACTGTATTATAGCTCCAGCCCCAACCCTGAGCTTTTAGGGATGAGACGTGCTCAGGGGTCTCTGCATTTATGGGTTTCAAACCCAGGGTCCCCACATGCAAAAAGAGCTTGGCCTCCAATTTATTACATGATTTTGTTGCTTGGGGGTTTTGTTTGTTTGTTTGTGGGCCACACCCAGAGGTGCTCAGGGCTTACTCCTGACTGGCTCTGAGCTTAGGGATCATGCCTGGCAGGCTAGGGGTGTACTGAGGTCAAACCCAGCTCATCTGCATGCACTTCCCCACAGTACTACCTCCAGCTCCATGGAATGGGGTGTGGGGTAGGGGGTGGGGGTGTTTTGGTTTTTAGTTTTTGGTTTTGGGGGCCACACCTGGTAAGCCCATGGATTACTCGTGGCTCTGCACCCAGGAATTACTCCTGGCAGTGCTCAGGGGACCATTTAGGATGGCAAGGATTGAATCTGGGCTGCCGCGTACAAGGCAAGCGCTCTCCCCACTGTCCTATCTCTCCGGTCCCCTGGAGTCCCGTGTTTTTAACTATATAGTCTTGTTGAGAGGGAAGAGAGCGTCCATACATTGGTCAGTTTGGCCAGTTCCGGCTGATGGCCCCGGGGTCAGCAGAGTCCCTCTGTGTCTTCCTGAGGCTGGTTTCTCTGCGAGCCTGGGGACACTGTCCATGTCTTCCTGCATCTCCCAGGAGGGACGAGCCCTTTGCTTCTCTTCCCTGGCTGACTTGCTTATTTCTGAGACTTTGTGTCCCTCCCCGGCTGGAGGCCAATCCGCTAGCAGGGACACTGGGCAGCTCCCTGGCCCTCTGCCCACCCAGATAGTATTTGTCACAGTCCCAGGGTGATATACTCCCTAACCCTCAACAGATGCAGAAGCTCAGGCGCAGAGGCAAACAGACCTGTGACCCAAATTTACTCTGGGATGTGAGCAGCACAGACAGACCCTCTCTGGGCCCCTGAGCTGCCCACTGGGGTCCAGGTTGAGAGGTGCTTGCAGACCCTTCCTTTTGCTCTTGAAAGGTTTTAGAAGGTTCTTGGGTAAGGAAAGTTGCTAGTGGGCCTGCTTCGAGACTGGGCCAGAATTCTAAAGAATTGCCAGGATGGGGGGGAGGGGTCAAAGAGATAGCGCAGTGGGTAGGGTACATGTCTTGCACACAGCAGACAGGGCATCAATTCCTGGCACCCCATAGGGTCCCCTAAGCTGCACCAAGTGTGATCCCTGAGAACCAAGAGGAAGCCTTGAACACGGCTGGGTATGGCCCCCAAACTAAAAACAAGAATCTCTGTGACCCCGGAACAGACCAGCCTGGCCTTGGGTGTTACACCATTTGGGTGCCCCCTCCTTTTTAAACTTTTTTATTTTGTTTTTTGTTGGGGATCACACCCAGTGGTGCTCACAGGGCCCTACCTCTACAGTGAATGTGGGGTGAGGGTGAGGGAACCATGCAGTACTGGGGCCCAAACCTGAGGCTCCTGCATGCAAAGCATGTGCTCAGTTCTTTCAGCCATCTCCAAGGGCCTAGAGACCCCAATTTCAGGCAAGGAAAATGTTCCCTGGTAGAAAGATGCACTATTTTGCACAGGGGTGATGACTTCCAGCTGAATTTGCAAGTATTGGTCTGTTGGCCCAAGACTTAACTATTTGAGGGAAATATGGTGGGTGTCTACCACCTGTGAGGTCCTGCTGGCTATGCTCCACCTCTCTTGTAGTATTTATCCCCTCAAGGTCTGTCCAGTCCCGGTCTTGCCAGGAGGAACAGGCCCAGCCAGCCTGGACCCTAGAACCAGGTTGAAAACTGCAGTGGTGCTGTGTTATGTGACTTCACAGCAACTAAGGCTGGAGGCCCCCATCCCCCCACCCCAAGCAAGCTCCACAGGGGACACGCCCCTCCTGGCCGGTCCCGGGGAGGTGCTGAATTCAGAGCAGCAGCCTGTGTGGGCCCCAGTGAGGACTGGGCGTGCTAGGAAACAGCCCATTTGGAGACAAACTCTGTTTTCCAGAGCTGGAGGAGCAGCCTTGGAGAGGGGGCCGGCTGGGTTTGACTCCAAACACTAGTTGTTGTAGATTTTAAGTTTCAGCCCCAAGACGGAGAAAGATGGGGGGGGGGGGGGGGTAGGGGGGAGCCGTTACCAGTCTCACATATTCCAGGAAAGAGCAGCAAGCAAGGCCCAGGGAAATGCTGGAGGACGGGGCGGGAGGAGCCGTTTCCCCTCCTGGGAAAGAAATCCACGGGCTAGGGGGTCGAGGGAGGGCCGCCCATCCTGGACCAGCCTGGCAGGCTCCCGTGTACCCCCGCCCCGCGCAGCGCCGGAGAGGTCCCCAATCTTGGGGGGTGGGAAAGGGGGGTGGCCCTCCCTCCTCTTTCGTCCTCTCCTAAGTCCATCCAAGTGAGGTACTTGGGAGGGGGGCCTGCGGGAAGCCCCCGCCTCCCCCCCCCCCCCGCCAGATGCGCCGGTGGCAGAACACCCCCGGGGGCCACCCGGAGGAGGATTTTGCAGCCTAGCGCGCCTGGGCGAGAAAATTGCGCCGTGGGGTGTGGGTGGCGGCGGCGGGGCCGCGTCTGGTTGGAAAGGGGAGCAGAGGGTGGGGGTGGGTCCAGGCTCCGTTTCCACTTGGGTTCTGATATCTGTGGGGCGGGGGGGGGGGGGAGTGGCCCTGGAGCCCGACGCTCTCGGCGGGCGGGGACCGAAGGGGGCCCCCTCGAGGGCGCGCCCTGGGGTTCCCGGGGTCCCCCTCCGTCGCCGCCGCCCAGCTCCCCGCCCAGTTCCTCCAGCCCCCCCACCGCGGGCCCCGCTGAAACCCGAGCGCCGGGGGCGGGGCGCGCCCGCATTGGAGGGAGCCGGGGTGCGCGCGGGGAGGGCCGCGCGGGGCGCCCGGGCCGCCGTGGACCGAGCCTGGCGGCTCCGCCGAGCGAGGCTGCGCCGGGCCGGCCGCGGCGTTGATGAGCCGCCGCTTCTCTCCCGCCGTCTTGCAGGGCGAGGCTGCTGGGAACTGGCCGCGCTGGATGGATGGGCATGGGGAGAGGGGTCGCGCGTGCAGCCCTGGGAATCGCTCCGCTCCTCGCCTTCCTCGTCTGCAGCTTCCCGCCAGGTAAGCCTGGGCCCGGGGCGCCCCGACCCCGCACCCCTCCCACGGGCCTTTGTCTGCGCTGCCGAGGCGCTGGATTCCCGTGGCGACCCGGGGGGCGACAAGGGGAGGGGAGGGGGGTCCCGTACGGGGATGTCCCGGTGCACTGTCCGCAGCAGCCCCTCCAGTTTGCAAACCTGCCGGGTGCCCGGGGGTGGAGCCCCGGAGGTCCCAGTCAAGCCCCCCGAGCGCCCTCCTCCTCCCCTTCCTCCTCTCCCTCCTCCTCCTCCCCCTCCTTCTCCTCCTCCTCCTCCTCCTCCGGGACCCGGGTTCACAGCCCCAACCCCCACGGCGCTGGCCCTCACGGGGGCCCGGGAACCCCGATTTCTGCTGGCCCGCATTCCGCGTCGCCCCCTGTTTGTTTTTCTGGTGTCAGAGAGGCAGAGAATGTGAGAATTAAGGCTGAAAAAGTCCATCTGTTTCCAATGAATCCCCCGTATTCTTCACAATGTTTTTTGGCAGATCGCAGCTTTCAAATTCCTCGGAGCCGGACCTCTTGTTTTCGTTGGGGGAAGGGAGCAAGGCTCACAGAGCCGCATTTGTTCCAGCCTAAACGCTCCAGTTTCTGAGCTTTTTTTTTTTCTCCCCCTTTGGTGGGGAGGGGAGGGGGGGGGGGGCAAAACACGAAACTTAAATCCCAGACTCTCTCTTTCTAAAGTTTCCTACAACTTCATTTCAGTTTTTTTTGGTGCCATATGCGCCTCCCCGCTTGGTTAAGGCCCATTAAACCCTTTATATCGCCCTCTTTTGTTTTTCTTGCAAAAAAAAAAATACAAATAAATCCAAAATCCCCGACCAAGGTGGGGGGGGTAGCGGGTGGGGGGAGCCCTGTCTTCAGGCGGGACCCAGGGGCTTTTCATTGTGTGCTAGGACCAGCTTGGAGGTTGGTTGCCTCTTGGCAAAACTTGGCTGGGGAGCCAAGGCTCCCCTTCTGCAACCCGGTTTTGCAAGAAAGGACTTGAGTTGGAGCGGGATCGGGCTGTTTTGTTTTGCTTCTCCGCCAACTGGGTTTTAAGAACTGGCAGACGCAGGCCGTGGGCCCAGCCTGGCTGCAGACCCGCGCTCAGGGCGGGTGAAACCTTCAGACAGCGCTCAGAAATGGGGATCCGTTTTCCAGGTCTCCCAGCCCTCTTGTGGGGCCCTAGAGCTGTGTACCCCTGGGGCAAATGAGGAAAGAGCTGGAGAAGGAAGAGGGGTGAGACAGCTGGGGGTTCCAGGCACCAGTATTTTATTCAACATGGTTTCATATTTTTGTTTGAGGGTACTCCCAGCTTTGGGGGGGGGATAGGCAGTGTCCTGCCAGGAGTACTGAAGACTGTTCAGTTCCAGAGATCTCTTTGGGGGTGCAGGGGTGTTCCCACATGTGTGTGCTCCAGACCTTTGAACTACCTCCCAGGCCTGCCCCCCCCCCCCACACACACACCATCCTTTTCTTCTTTTTTTTTTCCAATTTTATTTATGTATTTGGTTTGGGGGCGAAGGCCTTTCTCCTGGCTCTGCACTCAGGAGTTAGTACTGGTGGTACTCGGAGAATCCTATGGGGTGCTGGGGATCAAACCTGGGTTGACTGTGCAAGCCAAGGGCCTTCCCCCCTGTCCTATCACTCCAGCCCACACACCCTCCTTTTAAAAGGCAGTATTCACACTTACTGAAGGGTCTGGTTGGGAATAAATAAATAAAAGAGGCAGCTTCCATTCTCTCCAAAGAACTTGAAAATAAAATGCAATAAACATGGACTCTCACTTCTCTCTCGCCTAAGCAATGCCCGAGAGTTAGTTGCTGGTTCTAGCGCATCTGGGTTCAGCCCAGAGACCCAGATAAAGATCCAGCCCAATGGAAGCTTTATCAGATAGGCTGATAAATGGCTTTTGTCCCTTGGCTGCCATGGGGGGTGGGGGGGAGGGGCAGGGGCATGAGCTCAGCTCCCAACTGAAACTGAGAAGGGGGGCTTAGCTCCCTCGACCCCACCCCCGCCAGCAGCCCCTCCTGGCGGCAAGGGGGGAGATTTGGAGGAGGGGAAGGCAAGGTTGATGGCCGGAACAGCTGTCTGGCCGCTTCTCCATTCATTTCTGGTTCTTCAAATACTTTCCCGAGCCCAGCATGGCCCAGGGAGAGCGTTAGCAGAGCGTGCCGCCCAAATTCCATCGCTGAGTTTTTGTTTGCGAGAATCCTGTTTCTTTTTTGGCTTTCAGACGTGTAAGGGAACCTGGCAGATAGGGCCGAGAGCTTGCTGGGCACTGCTATGCTTCCGGGCTCAAGTTTCTTCTCCTTCCAGGCTTAGAGCACTCCGTTTGGTCTAAAGTGCCCACCTTACTGAAATCCGAGCCCCCTGGCTCCCCCGGAACAACGCACCCTGGGTTGGGGGGCTCTGAAGTTGTGTGCTCTAGAAACTTGGGGCAAAAAAAACCCTGCGTTCAGGCAGAGATGAAGGGGGTGCTTTCCCTCTCCCCACAAAAAAGGCATGCCTGCTCTTTTCCCTGATAGGAAGGGGGCTGCCAAGCAGTGCTCTGTGGGCCCCAGGGTCACTTCTGACATTACTCAGCATTCTGGGCTGGAGGTTCAATGCACAGGCCCAGTCTTGCCTTGCTGGCTGGGTGGAAGGTGAAGGGCCACAGCCACAGGTGGTTTTGAGGATCAAACTCAGGGCCTCTCACTTGTCTGACCCTTGAGCTATCTTCCCTTCCCCCCTTTTTAAAGTTGCCGCTGTCCCCCTTGTATGGGGAAGGGTAGACTTGGACTCTGAGTGGGTGGGCAGGGAGAGGAGGTGACCTTCACCTTGGGCAGACACAGGCTAATTTTCTTGATCAAGCAGTTTGAGACCACAGTGACCATAATAACAAAAAGAAATTCACCAACTAAACTGCAGCTGATTTAGAAATCAGAGTCCTGGGCCTGGGGAGATGGGATAGCGGGGAAGGCCACCCTGCATGTGAGTGATTCAGGTTGGATCCCCGGGAACTCCAGATGGTCCCCTGAGCACCACCAGGAGTGGAGTGATTCCTGAGTCTGAGCATCACTAGGTTTGGCCCCAAAAAACAAAACTGAACAAAAATATGAAATCAATAAATAGAGGTAGTAGAGTTTCGCTCTCTGCTGCTGACATGGAGGTACTGGGGCTGTTGGCCTATCACCCTCATTGTCCTCCCCGCCCACACTGGAGAATGAAAGGAGGTTCTATGGCCAGAGTCAGGGCTGCAGAGATCACCCCCAAACCTGGTGGGCCACCCCGAGGGGATCATCGGGGGGGGGGGGGACTCTTGGCTCTGGATGAGTGAGGAGAAGGTCCGCAGGTAGATGGTTTATAAAGGAGCACTTGGGATCAGAGTGGTAGCATAGCAGGGATGGGATTTGCCTTGCACAGGCTGACCCGGGTTTTATCAGTGGCATCCCACTGGGTCCTCCAATTCCTGCCAGAAGTGATCCCTGAGCACTGCTGGGTATGGCCCCAAAATGTAGAAGGGGGAGGAGGGAGGTTGAGGGGCTGGGAAGTTCCTGGCATGTCTGCTTAGCACATACTTCACCTGGGTCCCATCTCTGCCACCACATGGTTCCTCGAGCATCACTGTGTACAGCCCTAGTGGCCCCCATACACCACAGGGGTGACCCAGGGCCCAGCTACACAGCACCCGTAGTCCCTCACTGACCAAGATGCCCCCCACGAACCCCCCTGGGACTCCTAAAGACACACACACGAAAAGAGGGAACTGGTGGCAGTTACCGGAGCTCAGGGAGATGTGGGAAGAGGGGGTCCTGGGGCCTCTATGGTCATGCTAGGGGTGTGCAGCTGCCCCTGTGAACCCTCCTTGTTGATATGCAGGAGTCCCCTAAACTTGGTTGTGGTATTTCTATTGGGGTGCAATGGGTCCATGCCAGGCTTACTGCTTGGCTAAACCAACCTGCCCAAGTGTGAGGCGCAGCGCCCGGCGCGGCCAGCCCATCCCAATCACAGGCCACAGTGAGACGCCAAGGCCTGTGTCCTCACGTGCCCCCTGCAGGCTCCTGCTCCCTGGATTGGTCCCTGGTCTGTGAGTTGGGGGACCCCCAATCCAGTGGCCTCCTCATGCAGTGCCATTACTGGGAAGGGTCCTGCACAGTCCAGGGAGGCTGTCTTGCTACAAAGAGGAGTGACCCCGGGACCTCGCCCCACCTGTACCTCATGTCTGCCATTGAATTGCTCCAAGATCCGGCTCAAAAGCCTTGTGTATGTCCTAGAGCACCCTGAAAGGAAGACCCCTGGTTTCCAGTACTCAGATTCCACCCTTCACCTCCAGCCAAGCTGTGTTCCACCCCCCCCACCCCCCAAGACCTGGACACTGGTCTCTGGAGCCTCTGGGGCCCTGGCTCTACTTCTTTCCTTTCTTCTTAAGGTTTCAGAGTTCTGTCTTTTTCTCCAACATCAGTTCTCAGAGCCCCGAAAGATAGTGCAGCGGGGAGGGCGTCTGCCTTGCACACAGCCAATGGGGGTCCAGTCCTTGGCGACCCATATGATCCCCTGAGCACCTCCAAGAGTGATCCCTGAGCACTGAGCCATGCTGGGTATGGCCCCAAAATGTAGAAGGGGGAGGAGGGAGGTTGAGGGGCTGGGAAGTTCCTGGCATGTCTGCTTAGCACATACTTCACCTGGGTCCCATCTCTGCCACCACATGGTTCCTCGAGCATCACTGTGTACAGCCCTAGTGGCCCCCATACACCACAGGGGTGACCCAGGGGTGATCAATGCTAGGTGTGACCCCAAAGTAAAATAAGGCCCCCTTTACAGGCCCCCCGCTTTTCATCTCTTTGTGTCCCTCCACACTACACATCCCAGACCCACTGCACTGCCCTGGGAGAGGCGAGGACCTTTAGATCTTTCTCTGGCATTTCTTCTTTGGTTCAGGTGTTTGCTCAACACACAGAAAACATAGGATTGTGCTATGAAGCCATAGCACAGCAGGAAGGGTGTTTTGCCTTGCACGAGACCGACA